TTGGAGCTGTTAAAACAATCCAAGTCTTCAAAAGGCTGTGTTCTGTCAGCCAAAAGACATATATTTCTTGGCAGGTCTCAGGTTTCCACACCGGTCAGGCCACACATGGAGTACAGAGTACAGTTTGAGCCTCCCCAGTAAGAGGGAGGCATGGACATTCTAAGGGCAGCCCAACAAAGGGTCAGAAAGATGATGAGGATACCGGAGCATCTCTCCTGTGAGGAAAGCCTGAGAGAGCTGGGACTGTTTAACTTGGAGAAGGCTCAGGAGAATCCTGTCAATTTATATTAATACCTGAAGAGGGGGTAAAAGGAGGATGAAACCAGGCACTTTGCAGTAGTAGTGGGCACAAACTGAAACACGGGAGGTTCCTCCTGAACATCACAAAACACTTATTGCGGGGCTAACTGATCACTGGCATGGGTTGTCTGCAGAGGTTATGGCCTCTCCTTCAATCTTTAGAGGTATTCAAAAGCTGCCTAAATACAGTCCTGGGCACCTGGCTATAGGTGGCCCTGTTTGAGTAGGGGGGTTGGAACAGATGACCTCCAGAGGTCCCTTCCAACTTCAGTAGTTCTATGATTTACAGCAAGTTGTGCCACATTTTTGCTTTGAATAACTAAGAACTTTTGCAGCATTTTTTTATTCAGCTACAACCTCATTTTCTGTTCAAGACCTATTCCTTTGATTCCAGATAACTTCTTGGAGATAAGGAATGTCTTTCAGTTGAATGTCCTACTGTATGGGGCACAAGCTATCATTTACTTCTGAGAGTTAGATTTCTAAACAGGTGAGGTGGGCATCTACTTTCATAATGAGTCTTGGTGTGGGTACATCTTTTGAGCTCATGACCCCAGGCTTGTTCTTTCATTTTTCAGTGAAGACAGACTTCAAGATGACTGTTGTTTTAGTTAAGAGGGTAAGAAAGATGCAAGGTGATGTGTAATTTTCTGTACACTCTGTTACTTAGTGACAAAATTACTCCACTGAGTGTTCTGTGGATTTCTGTGTAATGTAGTTTTCCAGTTTTAGCTGAACTAGGAATTCAGACTTTTTCAAACAAATGGTCAGATCTGCATGTTCCTTTCCAAACCTGTATTTCAAGGGTATTTTGGTTTTATTCAATAATGATGTATTTTAGAGGAATTTTTTTTTCTTTAGCATACAGATGCAGAGACATGATTTTTCTTGCACAATGATAGTGGATAGCAGATTCTATCAGGATCTGTGGCAGAAATGGAAATGTAGCTAGCACTTCATGAATGTAGATTTTCAGTTGCAGCTACCAAAATGTGAATGTTTCAGAGATCTGCTGAGTAAACTACATAGGATTCAATCCACATTTCTGTGAAATGCTATTCTGTAGGCTTCCAGCTGTGATGTTATGTTTGTAAAAGAATTCTGTCTCCACTCCCTTCATGACTCTAGTTTCAGTCAGATCGTTGCCAAAATGCAGGTAGTTGACTACAGTTGAATGTGTATATGTACGTGTTTGAAGGAGTCGGTAAAAGCGATTTTTCCAATGCATAAAACTCCTTTGAGGTATTTTTCTGTCTGTACACTGGCAACCACATCTGTTAATTCTGATATCATGTTAATAAGGATGTGGGATTGTGGAGATAAAGGGAACTAAAAAGTGTGGGAGATGAATTCTGTGTGTTTCAAAGTGATGTAGCATTTTGTTTCCCAGCCTGGGAGAGCAGAGCAGTTGGAGCATCAGAGGAGATACTACTGACTAAAAATTACCTAGTTCAAATGCTTGGGCCATGTGTATGCCCCCAGTGTGCTGTTCTTGACATGTAACGTTCCTTTTCAGTTGTATAATACATGAAGTAAGACCTGAGATTTTGAAACAATTAATGGTTTAATGTGATGGTCCAACTTCTGGAGCCATGATTGTTTAGAGATCCCTGGTTTGCTTCTTCTCTTGTTAGCATGACAACGTTTTATGTCTGTTTCCCTTATCTCCTTTCTGCAACAGCTGCCCATTCTCACTGGGCTGTGCTCTCTTTTTCCAGTGTAAGCAGATGTTCCCATTTCTATTTTCTGTATACTTTCCTCCTTCCCTCAGTGCCCTCTCCAAATAAAAATACAAGTGCTGATTTTCTTAAATTTTCTGCTAGTTTAGATATTTACTTCACTTATTCAGATGTATTAAATGTTTTTCTCTCCCTCCTCTCCCCCCTGTGGGTTTTTTACCTTTTTTCTTGTTGGAAATAGATAATAGTTGTGTCTCTTCTCCCCTCCCTGCTTCCTGCCCATTCCAATAAGTTAACAAGCAAACGAGGTAAAACACTTCTAGAGGCAGTAGGAGGTATAAGAATTTCAGAATTTCCATTGGAAAGTGCACCATTTCCAATAGGAAAGACAAGTAATATGTGTCCTCTGCTTCTTATTGCTGCCAACTATGTAAGGATGTGACCTGAATTCTCCTGAAGGAGTATCATGTAAGTCTGGTGTAATTAAGTTTGCATAATTGTATAACTCTATATACAATTCCTGCATGAGTTTCTAGAGTATGTTCTATGTTCATTTTTTCCTTAGGGTTGTGATGCCTTAAGTATTGCTGTCACTTTGTGTGTAACCCCCTCCTGGATGAAAGTTCCAGAGGGAATTAGCCAGTTCATTTGCAACATTGTTCCTTAATTTGAAAGTTAGTTTTGTATGTTTGTATATCTGTGTATTATCTCTGTTACAAGACTAATGAATAAATACTGCTTTCCAGTCCTGGAAAAGGCAAACATATTTGTGTTTTTTCTTTTTCATCCCCTATTAGTATCCAGTTCAAGTCTGTCAGTGCAAGTTTAAGCAAATTTATAAATTCATGTACTTTAACTTCTTTTGTTATGTCTATGAAGAAAATGATTTTGTTTTCCGTAAAATGATGATGTGCAAGGTTTCAAGGTAGCCATAAAGCATTACTGTATTTTCATTATGATTCAGATGAGTTCAGGTATGAAGATGGCATGGAACCTGTGCTACAGAGATATCCAGATGTAGTGGGATCTGCAATTTGGGCACTGATAAGACATGCCATTAAGAATGATAGTTTTGAGAATGACTGTTGTCAGCCTGTAGCCTTTAAGAAATCTGAGAGGAGAAAATAGTTGTATGATCTTGAGATCCATGTCCCCTGACATGTCCTTCTGGATTTAGTAAGGCCTCTTAAACCATAACTAGAAGAAAAAAATAGAAGTGAAGCTTTAGTGGTAACCTCCCTTTTCTCCAGTAGCTTAAATGTCATTCTGTTCCTTTTGAACATGGGGTATTGAGTTCTCACATTGTGGTTAAAAACTGCTTCTTTTGCTTTCATATACATAGTAGGCAGTTATTTTTCCTGGGACAGGAGAATGTTGACTTTTCTGTTAAATCTGTGGATTTAACTGTGGATTCAGACCAGCTGGTTGTTTCCAGTAGGGTGAGGAGAAAGACAGAAGAGGAAGATTTTGACTTTGTAACCCATTTGCCAGGACCCTGCCCTCTGAGGGCCTGCTTTATATCTTAACTCAGTAGTTTCATTTCATTCAGGTTCTTTTCTGCACTGTGGCATGTCCTTAGAGGGGAGCATCGTGCTGCCTAGCAATTAAAAGTCATTTAGGAGATGATTCTAATTTGTGTCTCCACCAGCTTGGGAGTGACTAGAATCTAGTTCCTTCAATCCCTGTGTGAGGTCTTTAAGTTCTTATCTCTTTGGTAGTTTCCTAGTCAACAAAGGTCAGAGACCTTGAGAGGTCATTGTCCTTAGAAAAACATTTTTTAAGAATGACATAGCTCTCCTAAGATTTACAGAAGTAATTTCAAGTTAGAGAAATTCTCTTGATAATTCATATTACATCTAGTTTTGTCAAGAATCATCAGTGAGCTACAAATTTTAATCCTGTGTTTTCTTGACAGTTTCTCTATATCCATCTCCTTCTGAAGTCAGTAGCATATACTTTTATTACAAAACATTTTCTACTCTCAACTATTTGGAGCATGTAGAACTTAATTTACAACAATCATACTGTAAAAGACTGGAAACTAATTTTGTGAAATAGTAATATATTGGCTGAATAATATTTGATAGTGAAGACTTGTGCTGGGGGGAGGAGAAGAAAAAAAAAAAGGGAAGAAAATAAAAAAGGGCAACCAGATTGGGTTAAAGGAAAGATTTGTGTGGGTTTGGACTTTTTGTTTGTTTGTATAATAATTGGAATATTTCTTACTAATACATTATCAAAACTATGCTGTTATTGTAAATGAAATTCTTATGACAGTGTGTGAATAATGAGAAATAAATTCAGCTTACATAATGCATTTGAGAGAATGTATTTGTAGGAATTATTTTTTGAAAAGAAAGTACGAACCAAAATTTCCAGCCATGTTAATGTACATTTCCACAATCACTTTGTCTTTTTGGTATTTTATAATAAGGTTATTATGCCATATATCTAAAAATATAACTTTTGGAGGAAATAAGGAAAATAGGTATAAACTCATTTTTATTCTAAAGTAATGTTAGTTTTCCATAAGCCAGTGATCTTTGATATTTTTGGTGTGTATACGTGGAGAAAAGCAGTCACAAAAATACCTAAATTCTGGGTTGGTTCCTTATTGCTTAATATCAAGACATATTGACATATCTTCTTCAAGATCTGTTATTGTCAAGTATCAAAATCCAATTAGAATGCTAACCTGGCCAGGCTGACTGAAGAAAGTTGAATGGTATTTTATATATGACTTTCATGACTTCAGACAGTTCATACAACTAATACTATCATCTTCAGTTTCTATATATTTAAAAAAAAATCTTGTTCTAGAAGGCCAACATGCTGACAAATTTCACTGAAGAACACATGTTGAGAATGCAAGCAATTAAATGCAAAACCTCTGTATTTTTTCTCTTCTATATGTTATTTTGTGAATTGATTATGCTTGATAGCAAATATGTTTTCTGAATTCATTAATGTTTTTCTAAACAATAAGAGTTTACAGTAAGTAATTTGTGTTCACTTTGGCAGTAAAAAAAGAGGAGGAGGAATTTGAAGAAAAGAAATCCATTAAGAAACGAATCAAAGAATTAAAAGTCTTGGACCCAAAGATTGCACAGAATCTGTGTAAGTAGAGTCTGGTTTTATAACAAAGTAATGTTGCATATATATGTTCCATAAAACTGTCTGTCTTGTCTGCCTGGTGGTAACCACTTTTTATTTAAAGTATGTGATATGTTCATATGTGCATATTGTTGTTATGCCAAAGGATGTGAGCTGATACAACTGAAACACTTTTTAAAGGACCCAGAAAACAATTAAAGGTCATCACTTTTTTGAGACTGACATTACTCTCTTCTGTATATATTGAAACATAAGTGTACAGCTACGTATCTAATTATCTATTTTCAACATAGTCAACAAAGAATACTGCCTAACCCTCTACTGCTTCACCCCTCCAAGAAGTCTGGTACAAGGTATCTGGCCATCCTGCATGTACTTCGTAGAAAGAAGGCAATACTCAGTATTATGCAGTAATATGCAAATAAAGATGATAAAGTTTTGGCAACGATGAGTGCTGTAAAGAGTATGTTCCTAAATACTGGAAAAGATAAAATAGGAAACGATTGGATTATGGTGAATGAATAAACAGTGCTTAATAAGAGCATTTTATTTTTTTAACTGTTGATGTGATTTCAGTTTCTCAAAACCATTGAAGGAAAAAAGTGTTAACTCTTAGCTTAGCACAAAAGACTACAACAACAACTGTCCTGCAGAGTGGACTTTTCACTGGGTAATTATGGTGATCTTCTGTGATGCTGGATGTTCTGTGTAACAAATGGATGGAGAAGGCTAGAATTGTAGAAGAACAGTGGTTAAAAATAATTGTTGTCTCTTATTTCTGTTACTTTGTATGGTGTTTGTTAGCCTGTATGCTATAGGCTGATTAACTGGTGATTTGCAAATAGAAAAAAAAAAAAAGTGTCTTGCTTTCTTTGTTATATGTTGAATCTTTGTTTTAGCAATTTTCCTTGGCTCTTTCCGAGTGCCGTATGAAGAAATCAAAATGATGATACTGGAAGTTGATGAAACACAACTGTCAGAGTCCATGATTCAGGTAAGGAAAGTGACACTTTAAATCCCAATATTTCAGAGTAAGCTTATCATTAAATAGAAACCTGTGACTAAAAAACCTCTTACCATTAATTTAGGCTAATAAATCACTGTGAAAATCTTTTACTATCTGTGAACTGTAGGATTTTTTTTATATTTGTAGTGCTATTTTTTAATGAAAGTGGATAAATTTATATTCTCTAATTTCTTGAATCATATTGTCCACTCCTAAATTGAGATTTTTCTTTGGTATATTCAAACACCATCTGATATTCTGTTTCTTTCCTAGTTACTCATTTTTTCTCTAATTTGTTTCTCCCTCTGTCTCATTTGCATGTACCTGTTCTGGTCGAAAATTTGTGGTTTTGTGTATGTGTGTTTTGTTTTTTTTTTTGTTTGTGGTTGTTTGGTTTTGTGTTTATTGGGGTTTTGTTGTTGTTTGGTGTTTTTTTCCCCTTGTCTCTTTAGAGCTGATACAATCCAGGAACTTGCGTTAGGGCATCCAGTTTTCTTCCCTGGAGTTTATTTGGGTACTATTTTCCCTTTCTGTATTATTTTATTCAAAGCACAAAATTAGTATGATTATGTGTGGAGACAAAAGAAACTGAAAGTGCTTCTTCTTCTTCTGGGCAGTGTTATATGTGTTGATAAATTGAGGAATTTCATCTTTCATTATACAGCCATAGGAAGAAATAATTTGAGAAGTGATTCTGGAAGTCATTTGATCCAAGCCCCTTCTCAAAGCCATGTCAACAAGAGCAGGTTGCTCAGGGTTTTTCCCATTAATTTTTTAGTATCTCCAAGGCTGGACACTCCATAGCCTTTCTGAACACCTTTTGCGGTGTTGAACTACCCTTTTGATGAAAAATCTGGTGGAGTTTATCTAACCAGCGTTTTCATTGTTGCAACTTGTTACCTTGGCTTTCTGTTGCACATCTCCAAGAGGAATCTAATTGCATGTTCTCTGTACCCTCCAGATGGGTGCCTGAAGACCACCCGAGGCTTATTTCTTAAGGTCAACAAACCCATTTGTCAACCTCTTCTTGCCTGTCATGTGTTGTGTTCCCTAGTCATCTGGATGGGCATCTGTTAGATTTTCAATGATACATTTTTAGGCTAAGATTGTCTTTTGGACGGTACTTTTTACATACTGTGAATGTCAAATTATTGCCATTATGGCTCATAACTGTCAAATCATAACTTTTATTAACCTACTAGGAATGTGTCGTAAGTTTTAGTTAGAGAGGCTTTAGATAGCTGTTCTCTAAGCATACCTCAGTGTGTGTTAGAGACATAGGTACCATTCCCTACTGAAACATCCAAGAAAAATAAAGTTAGATTATTTTTTTTTTAGAAATGTACACTTTCTGCAGGGATATTGATTAGTGAAGAAATAAATGCAGGTAATCAAGAGTCATAAAATTAGTTGTAACATTAAGGCTCCTTGCGATTCAAGTGTGTGACTTGTACTGAACACATAGCAATCTGTATATAAAGGTCAAAACAAGGCAAATTTGTATTTGTGTGCTTTGCTTGCAAAATAAATATCCACCATATTGGTATGTCAAAATAAGGTCCTACTGAGGAGTCTGTACAATGTTCAGGATGCTCCTTTTCTCCACACATGCAGTGTGGCCCTCACTTCTTGTCACTTTGATTTCCAGTGATCTTTAAACTCTGTTGAGCTATCTGGACTTCATTTTCAATTCTTCACTGAAGAATGAGATGTTTCTCTCGAGAAATATTTGAAGGAACAAACATGAGCTGTCATCTCCAGTGACAGTATGTGTAATCATTGTGTAATTTTCTTTAATTTGTTCAATGATGAAGTTAATAGTGACATTGAAAATATTACTTTAAGATTATTAGATGAGCAGAGGAGTTTACGTTGAAAATGTTTGTTCCAGTTTTCACTTTCATCACTTTTCTTTTTCAAAGTATGATGATGTGTATCTTTCTTGCATTTCATTTGGAATAATAGTGAAAATTCTTTCACATAGCATGAAAAGCTATTTTATGGAGAGAGAGAATATGCTGTGCTGTTACGTGCAGCTTGAACTCTGTTTCAGATAGTTCATGCCTGCTCTGAGACTCATACACTTCAGCCTTAGCACTGTTTTTTATTGGTGAATATTTACCTTGTTAAAGAAATTAGGTCCTCAACAAGATCCTGAAGCAACCAATGAAAATGTAGTCCCATATATTTCATGATTCTGGGAAGAGCAAAAGCATACCTTGGTTTGCAAGCATATGGCATTTTTTTCATTTATTTATATAAGATACCCGAGATATTATTGGTATTTTTCCTTTCTAGAAATTTCTAGCCTTCATCTTTTTTTCCTTTTATTTTTTTTTTTTGTCTATCTTTAAATATTTTTCAGTGTGTCTTAATGTCATGGTTTCCAAAGCTGGAAGTTTGTCCTTACTCCTACTCTTGTTATACTTAAGTGTTAAAAGTAATCTCTTCCTCTCTCCCTTTCTTCAGTTGGAAATTGAATCTACTTCTGAAAGACATAAAACCTGTAAAAGTCATACTATAATCCAGATAGTCATTGACTAATCATTGGAATGTTTCTTAAAATTTAGCCAAAATTCTTGCTCCTATTTATTCCGTCTGGTATTCATCTCTAGCAGTTCAAAAGCTTTATCTGAACACCATAAAGCTCCTTTGGTATAATCTGCTCCTTTTTTTTTTCTTCAGTTTTTTCAGTATTGAAAATATTAATAGAACACTTGAGTACTTTTCTTTTTCAAAAGTTTTGTGGTCAGTTTTTCTACATATGAAAATTATTTTAGCATCAAACAAGAGCACTTTAATCTCAGTAAAGATTAAGGAATTGTAGTATATTAAGAGCTTGTTACATAGATGTTGTATATCAAGAGGGTTATGAATTTCTAACTTAAAATAAATCTTTTTACACTCTGTACCCTTTCATTTTTTGCTCAGTATTACTGATTTAGTGCTGAACATCTACATCCATCATTAATAAATATAGTGTTCCTTACAAATATAGTGTTCCTTACAAAAATGTTTTCTAAATATAGTTATGGTAAGGATATATATGACTACTGTCATAAATTCTTCATGTTGAAAGTCAGTCTGACTATGTCCAAATCAAACCACATAAAATTTAAGTTACATTATTAAGCATCAGCTTTCATGCATTTTTAAGAGTTCTCTTTTTTTGTCTGCTAAAATCCTGATTTGAGTGTGGACATTCTGTTGAAGCAGTCTGATCTTTATTTACTCTTCCTTTGGTTTATTTGGACCTTTGCTCCTAAGTCTAGCTTTTCTTACATGCTGATTTTATTTTCTTGATAAACTACTTGATCCTTACTTGGGATTTGACAAAATGTTGTAAAATCAATTACTTATTGTAGTCCTTAGGATCAAAGTAGAATTTTGGTTCTTAAAATAGTAACTATTTTTACCCTAAAACAAAACAGTGATAAAAGACTCTGTGTCTTTTTATCCATTTAAAAAAAGGGTTGATAACTGGTAAACTACCATCAAATGACAATTGTTATAAAGGCTAGGAGACCGAGTTATTAAAAAAAATAAATAAAATTAGTATTAAAATAGTCAAGTTGTTTAAAAAAAACAAAAACACTTCAGGTACAGTCTAGTATTTTCACTTTTTAACAAGAAGAATATTTATACTGTGCTCCAAGGATCACACCAGCAGCTAGCTTTGAACTAATTAATACAGATTGTGAAGATCTCAAAGGCCACTGCATTGATTTATCATAACTGGCTGAATTTCATGTGGAAAAAGAAATTAATTTGTGTGTAAAATTGGGGGGTGTGGGGAGGGGTGTGGGGGTTAAGACTTTCAGATAGAGATCCTGTTCACTAACTTAAGTAAATTCTTTTCTGTTGACTGTATGTCACCAAAGCTATTTACTTGCCGAGACACAGAAGAGATTTTGACTTAACTGAAACGGGGAGCTGCTAGAGTTAGTCTTTCTGATCCTTTTTTGAAATACGGTAGTAGGCAGTGGGATACTGTCTGCTAGACCTGATTCAGTGTTAGCGGGCTTGAATCTTTGTTCAGACTTATCTAATAGACCAGGGAGTATTTTAAGAAAGAACACAATTTCTCTCTCGTTTTTTTTTACTGTGATGGAAGCTTAGCCACTGTGTAACCAGGAACACAAGAGTCATAAACTGAGAGAGAACGAAGGCTAAAGGAACCCTGACTATTGCTTAGTAGTTATAGTAGTTGTCTTGGGAAGGGACAGAACTGAGCTACTGACTCATACTGACCATATATAACATAATTAAAAGTGTTCAGAAAGCCCCAGGAATTGCAAATTCTTCAGATATCAGATGAAACTAACATATTTAGATTCCCTTGCCTGTGTTCAAAAGACATTCATTTATGAAAATGTCCAAGCTCCTCGTATGGGCACCTGAACTCCACTGAAGCAGAATTCCAGCTCTGAATTCCCATTTCTGGCAAGTTTCCATGCTAAATGTTGTACATAAGGGTTTTAAGCTTTTGTTTTGAATGTTGTCTTTGTAGAGTTTGGTAATCATGCATATATAATACCATTTGCCTATAATATAAGCAACATAGAATCTGAGATTTTTTTTAAGCCTTTTTTATTTTTCTTGATAGAATTTAATAAAACATCTTCCTGAACAAGAACAATTGAATGCATTGTCCAAGTTCAAGAATGAGTATAATAATTTGTCGGAGCCAGAGCAGTTTGGAGTTGTGGTGAGCTCTCTTTTGTTATCCCTTTTTTTTTTTTATGTGTGTGTTTTGTGAAATACAATTTTAATATAATATTTTAGAAACAATAGCAGCTATTTTTTCCTAAATGTGAAGAAGTTCCTGACTGGGAGAAGAGTATAAGTCAAAATCAGTTTTTAACATGAAAACATTTTTAATTTCTCTTGGAGGGCAGAAGTTTTCAATAGGTCACGTTTTTGCTTTCTTAATATGGAGTGTTATGCATTTGCTATTCATCAAAGTTTCAATCTCCATTGGGCTTGGTTGTATCTTTTGTTTTATTCTGGCTGGAGAGCAGGCTTAGAACTTCTAATAATTTCTTTAAGAACTGTTGTAGACGAAAAAAAAAAGTCAACAGTTCTGCCCAGTATAGCTGTTTGGTTGTGGTTTTGGTGCTTTTTTATTTTTATTTTTGGTTGTGGTTTTTGTTTGTTTTGGTTGGTTGGTTGGTTTTGTTTTTTTTTGTGTGTGTTGTTTTTTTTTTTTTCTTAAAATTGCTGATTTATGCCTAATTTTTTTACTGTTTTCAAATGAGGTCAATCAAGCACACAATACAGGGCATTCCAGTTTTTCTTTTAGGTGAGTGGTGTTTTGTAGTTATGGTGTTTTAGAGAGTTTGGAATCCCATGATAATTTGCTCTAAAGTTGTGATTAAGGGAATGACTAAATGTCCTGGGTTTAGCAGTAGCAGTCAATTTTTCTCCCTTCTGGGTAGCTGGTGTAGCATTGTGTTTTGACTTTCAGCCTGGGAACAGTGCTGATAATACTGATGTTTTCAGTTGTTGCTAAGTAATGTTTACCCTGACCAAGGACTTTGTGAGGCTCATGCTCTGCCAGGGAGGAGGGGAAGCTGGGAGGAAGCAGAGACAGGACACCTGACCCAAGCTAGCCAAAGAGGTATTCCATACCACCGCACTGGGAGTTACCTGGAAGGACATGGGGTTTTCTGGGTCGGACTCGTTTCTTGGCGAGTGGTATTGTATTATCTTCCCTTGTTATTTTCTCTTATCATTGTTGTCGTTGGTAGTAGCGGTGGTGATTTGTGTTGTACATTGGTTGCTGGACTGTTCTTGTCTCAACCCATGGGAGTTGCACTCTTTCGATTCTCCTCCCCATCCCCCCGGGAACAGGGAAGGGGAGAGACCCCGGGGGCGGGGGGGACACGGGCCTCGATTGCTTCCAGCCCGGCACCACTCACTGGGAGTGAGTGAACAAGCTGTCTGGCTACGTTTAAACCATGACACTAAACTATTTGACTCCCAAGAAAAAGCCTGAGTAGTGAATAAACGGATAATTACTACTTGTGTGATAATAAAATGTTCTATAATGGAAACCTTTTTTTATCCTTCTGTCTTTGAATTCAAAGTCAAGATTTGGTATTCTGAAAGAAATGGCTAGACACTTACTGAGACACTGGCATGCTGTGACAGTTACAGTATTGCATATGCTAGTTCAACCAAAGTTAATTAACTTTTATTGTTGGCTTAAAGACGTTGAGGGCATAACTCTATAAACACTTCAGGTTCCCTTCATGAGTGTGGCTGCTTTATTTTATTTTTGTAGTGTTTCTATGGGTTGCTTTTGTGTCTACTGCAAACTTCCTCTTTTTAAGTTATTTTGAACTTTTATGTTTTTGATTAATTCAGCAGTAAGTGTAACGTAAATACTTTATTACTCTTATCTTCTCCTCCAGACTTTAGGTTTTTCCTTAGCTAAACTACTTTATTTTTCTATACATCCTTTCTTTCACTTAGTCTAGGCTGATGCTTCAGAGCACACATAATATCACCTATTGCCTATTATCACCATAGTGAGGCGCTGCCACAGGTTCCTCAGAGAAGCTGTGGCTGCCCATCCCTGCCTGTGTTCAAGGCCAGGTTGGACGGGCTTGAGCAACCTGCTCTAGTGGAAGGTGTCCCTGCCCATGGCATGGGGGTTGGAACTAGATTCTCTTACGGTTCTTTCCAAACCTAATCATTCTGTGAGTCTGTGATTCTGTGAGTCAGTTACTGTGGAGTTTGGTTTTGAGGGGTTTATGGTGGTTTGTTTTCTGGGGTTTTTTTTTGGTTGATTTATTTTTTTTTTTGGTTGGTTGTTTTTTTGTCATTGTTGGTTGGTTGTTTTTTTAATTGGCCGGCCATTTAGACATTCACTCTGCTCTAGCAATATATCCAGTCATATCCAAATATAAGTTTGCCTATGTTCTTACTTATCTTCATCCTTATTAGAGCACTAATGGTTTTATCTTTTCCTTGTGTTCGACTATTGATGATGAGCTTATTGCTGGTTTTCGTCTTTTCATCTTCCCCATGTAAATAATTTTATTTTTTTTTTTATGTATTTCAATTTTTTTCTCACCCTTACTCTAGCTGGTAGAAGTTCCTTATCTTGATTGTGTGACATTCCAAAAGATTGGTTTCTGTCAAAACTGGGTTGTGCAAAGAAGAGCTCCTGTCTGCATATGAAATTCTGAATTGCTTCTTCCAGAGACCAAGACCTACCTGTAATGAGTGTATTTATCAGCCCTGTTGTGTCGTTTTACTGAAGCTGTGACAGCCTTACTGCTCCTGTTTTCTGTAATAGTTCTATGAAATACTGAACAATTTCCTACCAGCGGTTGATGAGTTTCTCATGTTTACCTGCACATAATTATAGCTATTATTTGGTCATCTCAAGTTTCAGCTTCATTTTGACTTTAATGGTTTTGTCTGAGTGGTGTAGCACCTGTCTTGTAACAGTGATGACCATGCAACATGTGTCTGGTTACAGCTGAGGCAGAAACCAATATGCATAGCTGTTTTAGCTGTGTGGGTTGTTGGCTGGATTTTAGGTTGTTTTTTCCCTCTTAGTGTAACTCTCAGGGTATTGTGTGGCTTTCCAGGAGCAACAGGGCATTTCTCTGGCCATGTGAGCCAAGCTAACGTCTAACATTGCTTCAGTTCCACTGCATCAGAGTGTGTTTTCCTTTGTTCTCCAGGCACTGACAGTGTTCTGGTGTGAGTCCACTGTTGACTAACCTGGGAACAGCCCTGCTTTTCTTACCTCTTACTTATGCCATCGAAAGCTGCCATTTGTCTGCCAAGTGAAGATGCTGATAACTTCAGAAAAAGTAATGTTAATTTAGATATTCTCTTGAGAGAAACTTGAGGAGAAAGATCACCATGGGTAATCTTAAGTGTAAAGAACAGGCAAAATAAAGGGATTTGGACCATGGAGATGCAATTCAACTTCATAGGAAAAGAACTTAGGGATGACAAAATAAAATAACAATATAGGTATATTGAAGAAAGCAGAACTGAAAGTTTCTAAATCATCTGGTTTATTGGGAAACACAACTTGTAGAATAATTTTTAACAAGAACTCTTGTGAACCTTTTTTAATGACAGATTATCTTGTGAATAAATAGGAAGTCCAAGTTAAATACTATTCTGAGTTATGGCTAACAGTTGCGTAGGACTTTGTGAAAATATGAACAAAAAAGTAGTGGAGATCACTTGCACAAATACAGCTTAATTAAGAATGTGATCCAATAATACAGTGGTATTAACTTCAGGCAGGAAAGGTTATGGCCTTTTAAAAAGTATAGCATGAGAAACGAAATAATATGTGGTTATTTGAGAGATTGCTGGAAAGTTCAAAAATAAACCATTATTTATTACAGTTATTTTAATAAAGCTATAAAAGATGTGAGTCAACATTTGTCCAGTGCTTTTTGAATGTAAAATATTCAAGTACTAAAAAATTGTCTTCTGTTATTGTTCATTTGTATTAATTCGATCTGAGTCTGAGGTTTTTTTTTCTGAGATATTAAAAGTGTAAGGGTCATAAGCAACTGATAAGGGCAGCTTACTGCTTGCTTTTTTAAAGTATACTTTCTGAACTTCTGAGTTGAAGGATAAATACAAAAGAGAAGTTTAAGTAACATAAAGCTTTTAAGTTTCAGACTTGCATGGGGAAATGAGCATAGAAGAAAAATGCTCACTGTGAGATTTTATGGGAAAGGAAAAGTAATTCTTTACTTACAAAACCTTGATGTAAATTAGTTTTTACCTGCTCAGTTTCTTACAGATTTAATTCACTTTTGCTGTCATAGCTATGTTCTTCTGAGCACCACCTTGTGCGTGGGTTCAAGCAGTCTGACCAGGATTGCTGATGTACAGCACAGAGGACACAGGACTCAACACCATGTTATGTCTCTGTTGTGGTTCTTGGTTGGTGACAGCAAGCTTTTTTGGACAGATCTTTCATACAGTCATAAAACATCAGTTGGCATGAGGATATCTCTATCTCGGAATCTCCTAACTTCAGCTTCTTGTAAAGATTGACTAGGTCGCTGCCCACTGATTTACTTATCCTTGTTTTGAATCTATTTTCAAAATACATGGTTTAGTTTGCTGGTAGGCTAGTAAGAAAATGAATAATTTAGACTATCTTAAATTGGAAGGGACCCATACAGACTGAGTCGAACTGCCTGCTCCTTGCAAGACTGCCTAAAACTAAATCATATTACTAAGAGCATCATTCAGATGCTCCTTGAACTCTGATGGGCTTGATGCCATGATCGCTTGCTTGGGGAGCCTGTTCCAGTGGCCAACCATCCTCTCAGTGAAGAATCTTTTCCTAATCATAGAATCCTATGTCCAACTTGAACTTCCCCTGAAGCAGCTTAATTCTATATTCTTGTATCCTGTCACTGGTCATCAGATAGAGGTGATCAGGCATCCCTGCACCTCTTGGACATGATATTTCAGGGCATTTTTGGAGGCATAGAGGTGCATGGCAATGTTTGGTGTTGTATCAGGTGGCTCCAGATCTTTGCCCCCACCCTACTCAAATTATTTTGGGATGCGGTTTACATAAATGATTGCCAGAATACTCAAAATACAATTGATTCTTTATGGAGTTGCATGGTCTACCTCTCCCCATGCTTCTGCCCACACAACAATGCTAATGCTTTAGGCTTGTCAGTGCCAATGTACGTTAAC